AAGATTTGCATAACGCTGCACAAATGTGCACGCAAAGAAAAAAGGCATAACTTTTATTCTCGCTGTATTATTGTTGACATTGCAGCCATGTCGTGAAGGCGCTGTGTGTTTTGTAGTGAAAGCGAAACTACTTTGTTTGGCCTTCAAAAAGAGGACGATATCTGCTTCGTCATGCCTGGAGCTGATCCGTGCTGGTTGCTGAGGAAATACTACAACTTTGCACTGTGGATCGCCGGATCGGCTTTCACCGTGGATGAAGCGGAGTCCAGCCCGGAGTCGTCACATGTCCTTCCGGACGCTCCTTCGTCGAAATCGCCGGCCGCGCCGTTCTCAAGCCCACCCGCCTCGGCTCACTCTAACCCTCCCGCCGTTCCTCCCGCTAGCCCCCGGCCTCTAGACTACAATGCCGGCTGTTCTGACTCAAAAATTCTGTCATTAATTACTCACCCTCATGTCGTTTCAAACCCGTAAGACCTTTGTTCATCTTCGGAACACAAATGAAGATATTGTTGATGGAATCTGAGAGCTCTCTGACCCTCCATAGACAGCAATACAACTGAAATGTTCCCAAGTCCAGAAACGTAGCAAGGAGATCTGTGAAATACATGTGGCATCAGGGGTTCAACAGTAATTTTACGAAGCTACGAGAATACTTTTTGTGCGCAAAAGAAAAAAAATAACGACTTTAATCCACAATTCGTCTCCTCCGCATCAACCTGTAGCGCCATTTTGGAGAGTATGAGCTGGACGTAAACAACGTATTCTGTTCTGTGTCAGCTGTGCCACACGGATACGCCGTTTCCATTCAGATCAGATCACAACAACGTAGGAAACAGATCCGGCGTGACGCAGCTGACACAGAACAGCATACGTTGTTTACATCCAGCGGATACTGACATGAGGGTGAGTAATTTATGATTTTTGGGTGAACTATCCCTTTAATTACACTCATTATTATTATTTTCATGTGATGTATGATGTTTAAGGAGTATCTGATGATCAAATACCCCAAGTTTAAAAAAAAAATGAAAATCTGAAGTCAGACAAACATTTCTTACGTCCACGTCAAGAAGATCTAGATGTGAAAGAGAAGACATCTCAACAATGAGTCCTCCCTCGTATCTGTCATAAGTTAAGACATATGAAGGGAAGAGTGTGCCCAGGTGAATGTGACAGTAGCGCCATCTGCTGGTCATACTTCATACATACCGTAACAGCCCAAACGTTCACGCATTTCTTTCTTCTGTGGAAATGTTGCTTATTTGTCCAAAACTTACATTTCCCCTAATATAGGCATATCTTAAGTTGATGCATTTGACTGATTGGGGTTTTAGACATTCATGAAAGCATGCATACATTCCATGCAAATGTTAATGCTTATTGAGAGTTTAAACCAACAGAGTGAGTTATGTAAGCTGCATGAGGTTAGTGCAGAAATTATAGTTTTTTTTTTGGTTCATTACAGCTAATTTTCTTCAGATGCGGAAGGTCTTTCTGATCCAGTATTTTACTGTCTAGAGCACAGCTGGTTTGATCCACTTCATACAGACACTGCAGGACAGGTTTATACAAATGATGGATCATTCATTAGCCGATTAGTATTTTTCTTATATTTTGTGTAATGCATATGTGATTTCACCATGTTACAAAGACATTTGTTTCTTTTACTTACTAAAGCAGTGCATAAGAGATCTGGCACCTGGTACAGCATTTCACCCAGTCTAACCCAAGTGCAGAAACACAAATGCAAATGCAGATGGATACACATGTGCAGCCTTTGTATGTTATGTATGTCGTGAGCCAATATCATCAGTAAACATAATACTACTGGTACCTAAGTGATATTCCAGCATGTAAAGTATATTCCGTGGACATAAGGCTATCCGATCCATAACAGAATCTCTGTGGGTTTTTTGTCAGCAGAGGACAAAACAATGAAAAAGCATGTTTCTTTGTCATTAACATACTTCTCACAAGCTTTTCTTACTTTCCTTCTTTCTTTCTAGTAAGGGTAATGATGGACAAAGGTTTAGAAATTGTGTATTGTTTGTTGCTGGCTGCTTGATTTGGTTTGCTTACCATGGTTAAGTTAAACATCAAGGATTTAAAGATGTAAATGAAGCACTCCAGACAAATGCTTCAGTGACTCCATGAACAATAAACATAGGTGCAAAAGGTACAGGTAAAATGTAGATAAAGCCACATGTAATTTATAGGGAGGGTCTCCTCTCCTCTCTACTGAGACCTCCAGCACACACTCAGAGCAACAGCATATGTTGGTTTTCCACCTACTAACACATGCTATAAGTGTGAAAAGATGCTGGCACCTAAAAGAGATTGAACAGACGAGTCGTCCCAAGCATCACCTGGAAACCTTTCTCATATCAGGCAACAGCCAATAACTCTTTTCTCTCTATCACACACTTGGCCCAGCGCAGCCCTGCGCCAGATTTCATGGAGTGCCTGAGATGTAACAGCAGTCTGTCGCCTCAGTTGCATTAGAGAAATGGCCCCGTGATAAATATACTGTGGGAGATTAGCAGACATGTGGGTCTCTCCAAGATGAGTCTGTTGACTGCAGTACTGATGAATGTCATCTCCATCAACAGATAGATGATGAGTGGACACCAGCAGAACCCGGATACAGGCAGAACTAATACAGCACAACGACACACACCATTTACAATGCAAAGAGACAAACTATGACACCTGTGTGAGAAAGCAAAGGGAACTAATGCAGACGCCCAGAAGGCCAGAGGGCCCGGGTCAATCACTCAGCACAGCGTCAGCACAAAAGCACTCACATTCCAGCAGCACAGACCAGCAGGGGCTTGGTTGAAATGTAGACAAATAGCACAGGGACAAGCTTTGGGGTGACACAGTGGTATAGTAATGGTATCAAATGATAAGACTATGGTATTTTGTTTTCTGTACTTATCGTGATACTCCTATATAGCTAGTTACTCATATACCATTGGTATTTTAAGGTCCTTAAAAATAATTTAATGGAAGTAACAGTATTCTTCTTTAGTGAAAGATTATCTGAGGAGCCACTGTTGTAATATATAATAGCCTACGACCATCCATCTTCAAAAAAAGGCTAAAAAGAAACATCTCTTCCATCAACACTTGACCCTCCAACACTTGCACTCTCTATTCTTTTTCTATCCTATCTACTTGTTTTCTTCTTCTTCTTTTTAAATATCCTCCAACACTAACGCTCTCTATTCTTTTGACTTGTTTTCTTTTTACTTATTAAAAGAAAATGACCCTCAAACACAAGCGTTGTCTATGCTTTTTCTGTTTTATCTACTTGTTTTCGTTTGAATTATTATAATGTTCCACGTAACCGAGACTTGTCGTCGCACTTACATATTATTGCTCTTTTGTTGGTGTTGATTGCTTGTCCTCATTTGTTAAGTCTCTTTGGAAGAAAGCGTCTGCTAAATGACTAAATGTAATGTAAATGTAATTAATATGAAAACAATGATCCCAGTTTAGGATAGGTGGCAGTTTTATGATTTTAAGTTGTTCCCAATGTATCATATAATATATAAAAACAAAACAGAAGAGGCAGAGCGCTGCGGTATTCATGGCTGTGCGCCCTCTGCTGGTGATTTGTGGTACAGGTTGATCATCCTCCAGTGCTAAGAAGATGAGACCTAGGTTTTTGTTAATTTTTTCTTTCTACACGCTAGGAAAAAGATAAGCAGATAAATATCACACAGCATTCATAACTGGCACATAATCAAAAGAAAGAGAGAGAGAAAAAGAGTACATCAGAAAACTAACAATATAAATAAAATGCATCAGAGATACTGTATTTTACCACACCATAGTAACCTTAACTGTGGTTTGGGGAAGATTAGGATTGGAGTTTTGCCTAATGGTTAGAATTCGGTAAAGTGTATGTGTAAAGTAAGAGTTAAGATAAGATTCTGTTTTGTGAATATCTGTGTGCTGGGTGGACATTCATTAATTTCATGACTGTCTGGAGATCCGAGAGATGTGTTTTAGATTTTACATGAATCGGTATGTTTCCATTGCTCATATTCAGCTTTTCACACTTCCTGAAGTTCAGATTTGGCTGTAATATTATTAAAGATTGATGGTGCAAATCATTCTTGGTAAAACAGATAAATAAACCACAGTACTGCAGAAGCCCACGCAGCCTCACTGGAGCACTCAAAGCTCATCATACTCACTCACGCTGTGACTGATTCAGCCAATTATGCCTCGTTGAGTTCCGTTCGACTCTCGGGTTTGTGGTTTCCATCCGTGTGTGGACAAAACAAAGAACGCTGGAAAATTCTGTGGCATTTCCTACATGCTAAACAACTTAATTTCATATCTCCCTGTCCAGATGTGGCCTTTGCATATTTCAGTCGCTTGTACAAGTAGATGATGTTGGCCAATGGATGCCATGCTTTCCTGATGGGGATACTTGACTCCACCAAAATGGACTCTAGAGGTTAAAGCAAATCTAGTCTATTTCCTCCAGGCGAGGCTTTAAAAGAACAAAGATCTATTCAATGGAACCCCACCCGAATCTGTTTTTAGATTAAGATTTCATTGATTAATGGGCGATCATTCAAGTATTTTCACCTTCCTTCCTGTTACAGACAAACCATGCTAATGTGGATCAATTTATGTAGAGAAATAAAGCAGCAAAAAGAAAATGTGGTTCAAAGGTAACTATAGTTTCATAGGCAAAGACACAGTATTTCCTGTTTAAACTCATTGTGTCTGTTGCTTATCTTATATAATTATAAAAAAGCATGACCAATGAAGAACAGTTGCTTTCCACAAACCATTCACAAATAGTGTGAATAAGCTATTGATGACAATGTTCCTCAGGCTAAAACGGTACAGTAAACTGAACCGAACATCATTTCTCACACTGCTCGTTTACATGTATTTGAATGTGCATTTAAACTACACACTGCTTGTGCCCCAAAGCACAATAACATCATTAGTAACAATGAATCTGTTCTTTAGCTCAGTCAGTGTGCAGAAATTGAATACCAGCCCGCAGGGTTTGTGGGATATGTGCTTCTACTTTATGCCAATCATAAATGATTAAAGACCATAAATAAAACACACTTTCTTTACCGGTACAAAGCAATCCAGTCTTTATTACTTCTGTGTGAACTTGTTAAGATGGAAAATAAAACACTTGAGTGCATACTCATGCTTCAGCCTGAAGTGGAACTTGCATACTATTATCTTTTGATTTTACACTTCCAATTTGGGTTGGCAACAAAGAATGGCACTTGAGTGATTCCCATGTTGACTGGTTAATACATGTATAAACATTACTTCCTAAACGCTATGTCCTCAAAGCACCACTGGTGCAACTATTTACAATTTACATGTTGTATTTTGTTATAGTTAATCATGTAAATAAGAGAACTGAAATGAAAACTCTCACCATCTCCAAACAGGCAGCAGTGCTGACCTGAGGTCAGTCGTATGATTTGAATGAATGCTCTCTGATTCTGGATCAGGCCAGCTATCATACAGCATATTGACTGACTACAGGTCCACAAACTATGGAAACACTAGAAAGAACAGAAACTCTACAACAAATGCTTTAAACATTGCTTAACACCTTTAGTGTACTGATGCTTAGAAATCTAGCCATGCCTTTTAACATTAAGGCATTTTTTTTCTAAATCAAACCAGCTGAAGTCTGCAGCAAAATGGGCAACAACAACAACGGCAAAAAGAGTGGGAACTGAATAACCGCAACAGTTCAGAAGTGTATTGTACACTACTACAGTATTTACAGTTAATAATACAGCTGAGAACACTACTGTATCTTAACATTTGAAAAGAAGATAAATACAAGAATATTTATTCAGTTTTATAGATCATTTTTAAAATTATATAAAAGCTATTGAAGCTAAAAGTGGCTTTAAAAAGAAAAAGAGAAACAGTGCTATTTTGAGCGCTTTTTAAACTCTGCATGAGATTTGCTGGCACTCAATGGGAACAATAAATACTAGCTCTGTACTCCTCTTCGGTGTGGCAACGTTGTCTTCACAATCTGAAGCAGACAGGTCTTAAACCTAAAGGATGAAGGAGGACAGAATAACATGCATTACATACAAGCACGTGTAAAAGCACCAGTTTAAGCATGAATAATATCTGAGCTGAGATGAGTTTTAATGCACATAGCTATGGAAGTGCGATGTCATGGAGCGAAAGCCAGACTTACTGCAGCAGTGGTTACTGAGCTCACACTATAGTAGAGGGACCAATCACCTGAGCTTCCCCCTGTGATGAGAAGGAGATGGACGCAGGTGTTATCACAGGTTAAAGGGGAGGCTCTGATTTAATCATCAGGTGATCAGTGAATGTGTTTATTAGTGCTGGCATAAGCATGGGTGTTATGACATCTTTCTGCATCAGGCTATGTATGTCCACATTTATCCGGATATATTTGAAAATGGTGTTTCTGTTTTAAAACATTCTCTGATGGTACACAGAGACAAACATAATAAAGTTCTCACACTATTCTGGCACTATCATTTTATTAGCAACTCATTGGTGTGTCCAGGTTGCACCAGTATTGGTTATTGTTTTTTTGACAGCCAATGCCGATATCTTAGAGAGCAGGGTGATAAAATTATATATATATATAGTCTGGCGCACCATCAAAATAAATGTCTCTGACATATCAGCCAAACAGAAAAACTATCGGCCAATGCTGATATTTGAAAAATGCCAAATATCGCAGATTTATCGGTCGACCATTACTTTAAATTGCCAGTAAAACAATAGGCCAAATATGCAACATCGCTTTCGAATACTGCCGTTTTCACAGCCCACACTACAACAGGAAAACTGTTTTCATATATATCCACTTGTAAGCGCATCTTCAAAAATCTCAGTTAAATTGCCAGTAAAACAATAGGCCAAATATGCAACATCGCTTTCGAATACTGCCGTTTTCACAGCCCACACTACAACAGGAAAACTGTGTTTTCATATATATCCACTTGTAAGCGCATCTTCAAAAATCTCAGTTTTTGCTGGATCTCAGAGTGGGTAAAAGGCCAAGAGGTATAGAAATAGTGAAATGATGTGTGAAATGTGTTTTCAAATTCATCCGGATGAATGTGGATGTAGCCTCAGTGACACTGATTGGTCATTTGATGTTGGCAGAGGCCTGAAGATGTGCCATCTGAAACAGACACACGCTATACTAACCGCTGAGATGTACTGGCTGTTAAAGCAGGGTTTGTCCTGGGTGGGAGAGGTGATGGAGGAGTAACAGGAGGAGTCACACGGTGAGCTGGGCTCCTCGCACAAAGCCTCGGGATGGTGACTGGACACACATCCGCTGTCTGACCCGCTTGAGCCACTACCTGACAGACAGTGAGATGACGAACCCGAACTCTCTGTAGCTACAAACACAAGTCAAAGATCAACATCCTGTTATATACATGGCTTCTGAGGAAATGTTTAACACTTTCAGATGTTATGATACATACTCATAGACGGTTGACTGCTTGTCTCGTGCTCCAGCTCGTCTTCCTCGATGCAGGGGCTAATGAGAGGTCTCTCCCCTGCTAACAGGTTTTGGGTGCTGTACATATGCAGATTTAATGGGCCCAGCAACGTGGAAGAAGAGGGGCCACTGGACACTGGGGGGCCACTAACGGGAGCATTTACTGCAGCTCGTTTGAATGGGTTTGAGTGGTCAAAAAGCGAGACAGCAATGGAGGCTCTCGTCCTGGCTCCTGTAACAGAAGAAAGAGTAAAATCAACCCATAGAATCATAATCAAAATATTATTCTGGTCAGAGTTAAAAAAAATTAAAAAATTAAAAATCAAGCAAGTTATTCTGATGAGTTTGTCATGTTAAACAAGCTCACCTCTGCCTTTCATAATGTAGTCAATAGCTCTGTCGTTGATAGCAGCATCACTGGGTTTAATGTCCAGGAAGGGTTTATTGCCCACCCCCATAGAGACCATCTCCTGCATTCGAATTTCTGCATACACACAGAGAAACATGTTTAAAAACACTGCCATATATCAGAAGTTGCAATAGTACTGATGATAACTGACATTTAAAAAATGAAATATTGATATTGCGTTAATACTACACAAATGATAATATTATAAATAACCCGGCGTCAATAACTATATAGGCCTAGTTGACACTCCAATAACTGTTGATCAAGTTTAATGATGAATTTGAAGAATTAAGTTGCATAAAGCACATATAAAGTGTAAAAAGAATTTTCTAAGGGATTGAGTAAATTTATGCAAATACAGGTTGAACAAAGCATTGGATTTGCATCATTTTCTCACACTCATATCAAACTGTAGAAATACAATACTGGTGTGATATAGCTTCCTATCTGCCTGAGGCATATACAGATGAAGTGTTAAAGAAATCTTTCGATATGCTAAGATGGTATGTGACAGGAAATATTATCTGTAATTATCCGCTCACGTTCAGCATGCTGAACAGAACTAATTCAAACAACTTATTAAAGCTTAACCGCTTCAGTGTTTCTTTCCCACCTTTGTTCCTCGTGGCCTGCTGCCATAGTATCCGTGCAATGTCGCAGGTCCAGGCATGTTTGATCTCGGCACTGCTGGCTTGGAGAATGTAGGTCTGGTTCTTTGAAGTTCTCCTCCTGAACCAGACCTCAAACCTCAGAGCATTCTCACCCGACGTCTCTGTCATACCCACATCAGCCGTCTACAAAGACAATGACAGAGTAAAGAGGATGAATATCATCTCAATATTGATTGAGATGATATTCACATATCATCTCAATCAATATTGAGGGCTCATGGCATCTTATTGTTATTACGGGTTACAGGAGACCAAACTGATGCTTAGATCTTAAAACTAAAACCTTCTCTGATATTAACATAGGACAAGAATGTGAGTGTACTAGTAAAAGTACAGTGTTTTTTTCTGTCCTTCTAAACTTCAGATGTCCTTTAGGTGCTTACCTTAAAAGAGTGCTTATATATGTAAACATCTAGGCCACCCTCAACGCGTTTGGGTTTGCTGAACAGCACTAGATCCTCAAACAGGAACACGTGTCTTTGGCACTTCTTCCTGCCATAGAAAATTGTGAACTCATCTTGCCGAACCAACTGCCCCTGCTCTTTCAAATTCACCTAGAAAAGTGAGAAATAAATATGAAATGGTAAATGTAGAAGATCATTTGCTTTCCTATGTCTCGAATGTGAAGTGGCGTGTGTATCCGCTTACATCACAATCTCTGATAGCGTCCATGGCGAGCAGATCGTTGCCATGGCGAAGCTGGAATTTGACCATCTCGGCGGCGGCACGTAGGTACATTAGCTCCTGCTCCTGGACTTCGCTCACCTCTTTGATCAGGTCTTTCAGCAGCAGGGCATACTTACTCATGCGCTGGATGGGCTTCAGCAGGTACGACGCCAGGTCCATCTTATCCCCCAACTCCAGCTGCTTATGCTGAAACGGGGGAGATTTTTACAGTTTCAGCCCATGAGGTGAGATGAATGTGCTTTGAGCAGTTCAACATAAGTGGAATAAACTCTACACCCAGATTAAATGTCCTGTAAGATTTTTTTGAAAACCCCTGAAACTAAAAGCTTATCATAGGTGGTTTATAGTGTAGCATTGGTAGAGTTCCTCACCCTGAAGAAGCTGTTTCCATGGCTGGCCAGAAGTGTGTCTGACTTTGGCTTGTTCTTGCTGTATAAAGCATACAGGCTGAACTGGTCTTGCTATGTTTATATGGGGAAAAAAACACAAGAGAAATATTTTAATTGTTATCATCCACATTTCCGCACTCGTGTTCTGAAGAATAATTCTCTTGTTGATCCGGAAATAGAGGGAGGGAGCATTTTTTTCCAAATCATTTCCAGGTTGAATTTTGTTTGGAAATACGTTTTTTTGTTTTTGAGTAAATTGTTTTATAATGACTTTTCAGGTTCATATGGAGTGTGCAATCATTTCAGGGCAGGTTTTGCTGCTCCAGAAACATGTCATAAATGATTTGGCATAGTTAATATACGTTGCTGTAGGCCAAATGGCCTGCCTCTTTTCTCTCTTTTCTCTGTGAATCACCGCCTGTGAAGCCTTCATAAATTAGAGCTCTTTAGGTGAGCCAGCACTATGATTGACCACAACTACAGAGAAAATAAAGGAGATATAGGCTGGTGGTCTTGCACTCATTTAAAGACCTCAGAATCACTTCTTGTGGCTCGGTTTGATTCCCATATTCATAGAGGGTGAAAGGAAAAGAGCAAGTAAACACAGAAAAAGTACTTTTCAGGATGGTTTTAGACTTGTGCTGGGTCAAAAATGAGTCAGTCATGGACTGGGAACAGACGAGCACTGACAAATTAAGCCCCTTTGTTTCATTTCCAGTGAAAATGTGATTCAATTTGTGACATTTAATTGTGATCTCTATTAGAACTGAAAATATTAGAAGGGTCCAGAAAATACAAGAACAGTTCAAATTTATAGACTGTTGAATTTAACTAAAAAAAACAGATCTGAAGTCATGCAGTTCGACATGTGCTAGTTACTGTGCAAAGACTGTGACTGAAGGAACTCTCTTACATGTCGTAGGAAGCAGTGGCTGACGCGTAGTGGATGATTGCAGCAGCTCTCAAGCTCTTTCAGGAAATACTGGCTGTGGAAGTCCACCAGCTTCTCCAGGTTTCCGAAGATGACGCTGCGCTTTCCCCGCAGGTCCTGTGGCAGGTCAGCACGCTCCATCTCAGGGAAATAGTTGTCAATGATGTACCGCAGAGAACGCACATATTCCCGCTCCGTTGTTACCATCTCATCTACGATGTGGCGTAGTTTACTGAAAGACAGTGAGAGTGGACAATTTACATACTTCAAATGCATACTTTTGTCACAAAAACATTAAGCAGCACAATTGTTTTTTAACACTGATAAGACATGTTTCTATTTTTTAAGATTTGATTTTTGGTGTTTTTGCCTTTAATTTGATTGGACAGTCTAGAGAGGAAAGGAAGCGAAGTGGGAGAGAGATTTTATTTTTGGTGTTTTTGCCTTTAATTTGATTGGACAGTCTAGAGAGGAAAGGAAGCGAAGTGGGAGAGAGATTTTATTTTTGGTGTTTTTGCCTTTAATTTGACTGGACAGTGCAGGGAGGACAGGAAGCGAAATGGGAGAGAGAAGGGGGACGGGATCTGGAAAGGTCCGCGAGCCGGGACTGGAACTCGTGACGCCCAAAGCGCAAAGGCACTGGTGTTATGATATGTTTCTTGAGTTCCAAATCAGCAAATTAGAATTCTTTTGGAAGAATCATGTGACAATAAAGACTGGAGTAATGGGTGCTGCTGAATATTCAGCTTTACTATCATAGGAGACATCTTTCAAAAACATAAAAAAACTGACCCAAACCTTTTAATGGTAGTGTATGTCAGTGTGAAATCAGTATGTGTGCCCTAACAGCTTTTTCAGACAGGTGTTTTCACACGTCTCTCCAGGATGTCATATGCTTTCTCCCTGAAACACTCAAGCCAATCACTTGTGAGAGTCCATAATCTCTAACTCAGACTGGATGGCTCACTGTGACCGTTCCCATGGCATTCTTTTAATACTCAGTAGTTTTAAAACACAAAGTTTAACACTTGACTGCCCAGATCTTTTTGACCACTTCATAAAACCCTGATGACAGCAAACCTGAATGTTTAAAGTAAATGATAAGCATAGAGCACCTATTGTCTGACTGTCTTACATACATTACTTTACATTACTTACAGCACTTTTACCTTTTCACCACACAGATGAACATGGTGTGTATGTCCAGTGTTGAGAAAAACAAGGTGATGTTTTAGCATTTACATTAATCTTAAACTAGATTCTTATCAGAATATTTTCATTAGCCTTAAATATTTGCAATAACTGGACCACACAGAGCCGAACAGCATGTTTTTAGTTATTTCTGTCTGAAAAACTGTGTCAACATCACCTCTGTACTGTAATCTCAGAGAATAAAGCTGAGAAATGTGTTTTGAAAGGAAGACACACAGATGTAAGGACCTCCTTAAGATGTCTATATAAACAGCTAACTCCATCCATCTCTTCTTTGTGGAGGAGCAGAACACAAACAGGCTCCGCACCACTTCAAAGCCCAGAGGACCAGCGTCCACCTGGGAAAGTGATCTGTATCTCAGGCCTGTTTCCCAAGGAGGTCGAGGGGTGACCAGAGGGACCCACAGCTGGAAAAGACATCCATGGAGATTCAGAGGATTATGGGGCTGTGACCGTTTAATATGAGACATACTGAGTTCCTCTATGCACAGTTGCACACATTACAAACATGATTTAGTCTGTATATGGTTTTTAGCTGGAAAACTTTTTTTCCCTGGATGTCTTGTGTGTGTGTGTGTTCAATTTTGTACAGATATAAAGGTGTTTTCAGCATTTAGATTTTCAACGTTTTGCAAAGGACTAAGCTACACTGTACATTTTCATGTAAAGAGGCCCATTTGTAATGTGTAAAAAAAAGTATGCTTTTATACATTAACGACATGTTGTTTACAAAAATAAATAACTGACTTTAATATCGTCATTGAAATACAGTTAAAAAATATCAAGACAATTTTCTGTACCGTTAGATTTACTAACAAAGATAATATTTCCAATCCAATTCAACATTATTATGCAATATAAATTCATATATTCATAATTAAAAGAATTACATTATTAATTATATAATTCATTTAGAATAATAATATAATTATTTACATAGTATGTTTGAATAAGTATTTATTATTTATGTAATTTATTATTTACAGCTGCTATAATTATTTATATGTAATTATTTACAGCTACAATAAATTATTGGTCGGAAGTAGCTTTGCTCAGAATATTCTCTTGTTGCCTGAGAGTTTTTTTTTTTTCGTTTTGTTTTGCTCTTCCATGGACACTTTAGCACCCCCTAAGGGGTTCCCGGAGCTCAGTTTGAAAACCCTTGAATGTGTTCTTGTCTTGCAAAAACACTGTGTGCCAAGCTTAATATATTTGTCTGTGTTTTTGGCAGCATTGTTGCTCATATTCTATTACAAGAACACATTTTCCAGTGTGAGTGTGTGTCTTGTCACACAGCTATCATAAAGTGGTGGATATATAGTAAGGCCCTGTCCCAAATGGAACAATTCATGTGCACTTGTGGTCTTATGGACTTGTCCACGTGTCCGTTAAGTCCACGAGACCATAGGGTGTCCCATTTGTCATTTTAGCGTTCAGAAGGGTGCTCGCGAGCGCCCCCTTTGCGGCCGTTATGCGCCCTCGAGCCGCACTTCTGCTGAGCCCACATTGGGGCGAGCTCCGCAGCAGACTTCTACCCGACAGTCAAAGCGGCATTACGTCACGAAAGTGCGGACTCAGAAGAAGATCACGAGGGTTTAGTGTGCCATTTGGGACAGGGCCTAAGTGGTTTTAAGCTGAAGCATGCTTCAGTCAATGGCCTGCAGACCTCCCTGGTTGATTGTGTTTATGTTACAGCAAGTGAGTGGGTTAGCACTTGTATAAATGTACCCACCTGCCCTTGCTGCGTGTTTCTGGTGCAGGACTCCCGCTGCGGTGTGAATCAACAGAAGACCATCCATGCATGGGCGGCAGTCGCGGGCTGTACGGCCGATCGATCACTTCAGTGCTGCTCACCTCCAGACCCTTAATGAACACCCCTGTGTTTCCTCTCCGTGCAGGCTCACTCAAAGTTCTCTGACAGGTCCCATACCGTGACACAGACTCGCTACCGGCCGTATCAAAGCTCTGGGTCTTCCGCAAAACCCTGCGGTTTGGTTCTATAGAAGTGAGGCTTGGGCTTGTTGCACATGCCTGCCCCTCCACTTGTGGCCGCTGCGGAGACTCGTCTGTAGAGATGCTTCGTGTTAGCCTGTGGGATCTGACAGGCGTGCTGTGCTCAATGCTATATGGACTTCCTGTGGGGGTTCGGACAGAGTCACGAGTGTCCATGCGAATGCCTGAAGGACTGCTAGGAGTGGAGGACATGCTGGAATGTGAGGAAAGTCTGTCCCTGGCCCAACCTCCACCGAACGCTTTCCGACATGAGAAGGAGATGCTACTGCTACGCTCCTGAGGTTTAGCGCTACGGTCCGAGTTCCGGCGAGAGGAGTCACCCCTCGCTGATTTGGAGCCGCTCTCGCGGCGGGTGCGCAGGGCCATCTCCAGCTTCTTCTCAAACATCTGCTTGGTCTCCTGACACTTGGACCAGGCAAACTTCCACTGCTTGAGTCCCTGCTCACTCTTCAGCTCCCCAGCGAGGTCCTTCATCTCCTGGAAGTGTGCGTCGGGGATCGGGGGGTGCTGACTGTGATAGGTCTCCAGACACATGATCACGCTCTGACACCTGTCAGACATGCCACATTCCTCCATACTAACACACGCCAAATGACGCATGCCCTCTAGCGCCCATTCATATGCCTAAAAGAGAGAGAAAAAGAAAAGAGTCAGCTGATGTGATGAAAAAAATGTGAGAGACATTAAAACCACATTTTGTGTATGGTAAACCCAGTTATATACTTTTGTCAGGGGTGCACGTAAGTGGTACACAGGTGCGCATGCATGACCAAAATTAAAAAATGTGCTTTGTAAATAAGTTCAGAGCACTCGTTTACGAAACCGACATGTTAGACAGACTTTTAATGCACAATCACCTTTTTACATCGACTAACTGTAATACTGTAAGATTTCCATTTAAACTGAAAGCACAAATCTAGGCTATGCAATATATATATATATATATATATATATAGGCTATTAAAACACAATTCATAACTGTGATATTTCATTTACTGACGTGCTTCAGTTGACAGCGCTAAACCCAGCAGCGCATGCCGGCAACCCTACAAAATAAAAGCTTGCTGATTTTAGTTTTGAAAATGATGAAAATTCATATTAAAAAAGTAAATATTAGCATTTTATTTTTAAGTGTAGTATAAAATAATTGTATTTTTATTTAATACTCACTTTTTATTGTAAAATACAATTGATATAACATTTTATTTAGTTTATTATTTTATTAAAAAAACGAACTAAAGTGCTATAATATTATTATTACAATTATTAATTAATTTTTTATAGTTATATTAAATGGGTCACATTATGTGCAGTGTGAGGACTAAACCAAATCTCCAGGTGCTCTAATGAAAACCAGACTGAAAAGCTTATGTGCACCCCTGACTATTGTAGTATTTATTCATATTTAAATAAACTAATTTTTTTTCAGTTTTATTTTCATTTTAGTTTAAATTTACACTTTTATCCAAAGCGTCTTACTAAAGAGAAACAAAAGCAATTTGTCAAAGAGCCAACAATATTTGTTATATACAATCTCAAGTTACAGTAATTTGTTAAGTGTGTTTTTATTAGTTTATTTAATTTTTTTAAATTATTTTTATTGATTGTTTTTCTTATAATTTATTTTTATTTAAGTTTTAGTTTAAGTAATTTTATTACTTAAAATTCTTACAATTTTTTTCTTATATTCTAGCTTTATTTAAATTACTGAAAACATTAATTAAACATTAGTACATTACAGTACATTAGAACATTAAACATAGTAATAGTATTTTTAATCATCATTAAGTTAATTTTAAGTTTTTACATGTTAACAACACTGAGTAAAATGGCAGCTTTGAAAAATATATATTTTTTTTTAATGGAAAAAAGGGATACAAAAAAAAGAAGAATGAAGGCAATATGTCACATAAGAAGTTTTTATGCATGCTTGAGAATAGAGAAAAGGAAAACAACTACACAACTACAAATGCAGTGTTGATGGGGGTAGGATAGAGTGAGTGAGAAACCTCCCAGCATTTCTTTCATGTGAAATAAAGAGGTTTTTAGCCAGGAGCTGGGAGGTCTGGGTAAGAAGGCTTTAACAGGCAGCTCAGCAGCAGGAGGGCCTATAGTTTCAACTATGTGTGACAGCACCCTGCCACAAAGACACATGCCAACCGCTTTACTAGCTGTCTTTCCATTTATGAGAAAATCTGATGGCCCCTTCTCACACTCCAAGATGCTGTTACATCAACTGGGCGGCACTCTTGTTTTTAGACCTTTTTTCATCAGCATCCTGGCGGGCAGGTTTCTATAGTGAGTGCTCCGGAGGATACAAGTGTTTGCCGTGCTGGGAAATGAGTGGTTAGACTTCAGAGGGGATTAAAACAGATCAAACGCAACCCCCTTCCACCTCATACACACACACTTCAGTGCTGACTACAAACACAGGGTTGTATTTAGACATTCCTGAGAAAGGAGCAAAACTCCCCCTCTTCTCTCTCTTTCTGTGCACACACAAAACCTCCACAATCTACTTTTGCTGCTATGTGACATGGTGACATCGCTTGGCTCCCCAAGCCCCTCGGCTCTGTCTCTTTTTCAGGTTAGGGTGACACGGAGGCCACATGCCAGCGTATGGGCCTTTGGCACCCAGATACTAAAGTCTCACAAGAGCAGGGGTCAGAGGTTAGCTGCCCACAGTAACAATACACACGGCTAAGAAGTGACAGAACAGATAGAGGAGAGAGAGACATATACAAAGAAGACGCAAATGCAACATAATTGATGAGTGAGAACCAAACGGTGACAATGAATTTTAAGGTCCTTTTTAACCCTTGAGTTGCAAAAATGTGGTTTGGTTTCTTTGAAGCACTATTTAGGGTTAAATACAACTTTTTTGTATTTAAGTTCTTTTTCAATGGAAAACCACGATGACTTTTAATCTCAAATATTAAAGTAACGAAAGTAGCAACAGATCTTTTTCTTCTGTATTGTGACGTGCATCAGAGTGAACAGATTATCAAAAAAAAGTGTAGTGCGGGGACTTAGTTCTATCCATCGGTTATTGATTGGATGGAGGCAGATCTGAACATGAGTTTGCAGTCGATTGTGCAGGGGGCAGAGTTTATGCAGACTAAATGATTGAAGAAAGTATAGCATATTTCACCAGAAGATGGAGTTATGACATTTTCATTATAAATTACAAGCTCCAAAACACAAAAAGCAAAACAAAACAAAAAATCGTTCACAAAAACATCAATAACATACATTTAGAAAATATATAGGGTGAATTTTCATTTCACTTGACAACTCAATGAATTGTATATATTAAGAAAATATTTTTACCTTTTAAAAATGCATTTGTCACAACAAAGCACCACTTAAATGAAGTGCAAAAAATAATTTTCTGTGATATCTGACAGTGCACTACAGACTTCTGCATTAACTGTAATACATTGATAATCGTTTTGCTTGAATTACAGTCAGTGACTCCAGAAATCTTCAAGTCCTGTTAATTCTCCATAACCTCCCCTTTACCTCCTGATGTGTGAAACAGACATGGGAAACACAAACAGATGTAAAGCACTCTGTTTCTGCAGTAAAACAGCACAAACGGTTGACGGTGATAAGGTCCACCATAGGTTCTGCAGAGGCCCTGGGATCAGAGACTCCAAACCAGCTCTCAAAACTACCCCCCTCGGTGGAAAAATACCCCCTGCCCTGCGCTTTGCCCTCGGTGAAATAAAGCAGACACTTTGATCTATAGCCCAATATAGTTCCTCACTCTATCTGATGATGCCTGTGATACTGTGGGCAGGGGATGACTTCATCGTTTGGTTTGTTAGCATGTGAGGCTCTTTGAAGTGTGAATGGTGTGTGTGTGTGTGTGTGTGTGTGTGTGTGGTGGGGCTCTGATTAGTGAGAGCAGAATTAGTTTGCCTGAGGGAGGCACCTCTAAAGGCCCCACTATTCAACCCTGCACAAAGAGTGAGAGAGAAACAGAGAAATGGGGAGAGAGTGTTAGATGTGTTAAAACAGAGCGGCGGGAGTGAGACAGATCCAGTCTTGGACTGAGCTTTTGTACACTCCCATAAATGAATCTCTTAGCTGCAGTTTAAGTGGGTCAAGAGGAGCGTTTTAAACTTGAAATAAAGCATCTTTTATCATTTCCTCTAAAGGAAAACCACGAAAAGGAGGAAAGGTTTTCATGACATCAGCCAGTCTCTGATCTCATGTCGGAGCCATGCCAAGAATGTGTTTTTTCCTGAAAGGATAGCGTATGTCAAAATGTGAGCGGGTATTATGCACACTGGGTTTTTAGGAGGCACGGGCTTAAATTCTTCTGCCAGTTATTGCTCTGTAACTCACCAAGCTACAGGCAGGACGCTTAACTCCGATACAAGAACCTGGTATACTGCTCTGTCATTTCATTACAGCTGAAATGATCCCCTCTTTCTGAGCAGCTGAAAGTAAAGAAGGAATGGTAAAATGGGGGAGGCTTAAATTCTTCTGCCAGTTATTGCTCTGTAACTCACCAAGCTACAGGCAGGACGCTTAACTCCGATACAAGAACCTGGCATACTGCTCTGTCATTTCATTACAGCTGAAATGATCCCCTCTTTCTGAGCAGCTGAAAGTAAAGAAGGAATGGTAAAATGGGGGGAAATGTAAAAAGAATGGGCTGTGGACCCTCCTGAGCCAAAAAGCAGGATCTGAACGAGTGATTCTGAAAAAAAAGGATGAAAAGAAAGAGAGGGAAACAAATAGAGGGAATGCGAAAAAAGGTTGATTTGCTATAGGCTGCAGAAATAAAGTTGAGGAGGAAACTAAGACCACTTTTTTTTAATGAAGACACCCTGCAGATTGTAGAAAGACCAACTGGGACCAGTTCCACTAAAAATGAATTCTCAGATTAACAAAACAATCTAAAATAGCACAAATATTTACAGCACCATTCATGGATAAAATCAAATAAAACAAAATCTGTGTCATTTTAATAATTTACCACCTTTTTTAAATTATATTTTTATGATTTAACACCAACAACCACTATTACTTTTGTAAATTAAATATAAAAATATTTATGGTATTTGTCATTATAATAAATACTAAAAAAATATCACTTTTCAGTTCAATGACAGCATGTTATGCGCATATGCTAGCAGATGCCATATGCTATCTGAAAGCTCAATCTAAAGTAATGCAAATAAAATGAAATGAATACTCAAGGATGAAGAAGAGGGATGGAAAACACAAGAGAGACAGCACCTGTATGATAACTAGCCCCTGTGATTTTGACTAATTCAATCTAATTGTGGTTTTCAAAGCAAAAAAATGGTGCATTAAATTCACCGAACCTAAAACCCTGTAACGGTCATTAATCTTAAACCGATCAAGTAATGCCTGATGCTGTTGTATGATTGATGAGGAAGGCTTCAGCAGTTTTGTGATTCAGTTCGGTTTTGCCCTTTTGTTGTGTGAGTCAGGGGTGACGCATGCAAGTATGCACGCGCCGACTGTGGAGGGAACATTTCTGTGTTTCCTATAAAGCTTCATGAATGTCAAAGCCGAAGGAATCAGGCTCAAGAAAGAAGAGTTCAGCGATGGCATGCACACACACACACACACACACACACGGA